ATCATAGTATCCTACAATAAGAAATTTCATTGAAATGACATTAGTGGGAACTTTCAGTCATACATGAAACTAGATGTCATGTACATAAGGTTACATAATTCTTAAGAAAAAAAAACCATGTCCAAGATAACAGTTCTTTCCAAACAGAATAAGTAGTGGTAGGAACTCTTTTTTCTTTTCATTGTTGGGTTGTGTCATCATGTCTGTGTATTGAATCATTTAAATTATGTTTTTTCCAAAATTTGTATAATTTAGATGACGCTAATTGAAAACAATTTCCTACTCGCAGCACTTGAAAATGTTCCAAGAAGGTCTTGATTAGAATTACAGTTCTATTTCAATGACAAAGATTCCCAAATCGAGCAATGCAAGAAAAATCAATAAAAGTGACATAAAAGATTGATCGTTCACGTTGAAATTAGAAAAGTTTATAAAAAATAAATTCCCACAATTTGAATCAATCAACTTTCAGAGATTTTCCATTGTTTAGCTAGCTAAATAAACTATTTATTTTATTTTTTTCGGTCGGATAGTTATAGTTTAACATAACACTACTACTTTAACAACTCACATTAACATGGGGGTTGAATTTCACATCAAAAGTTTATACAGAGATCTAGCAACAATAATTTTAAATGACAATTTTTTTGACTAGTCTTTTTTAGTGGAGTTCATGTACTTATTACAACTACTTGCTTTACTTAAAAAATATATGATATTGCCATTTAACCGACATTATATTGTATCATTAATTGCTATATGGTCAGATGGGAATAATTACTAAGGCTAGCTAAGATTGAACTATATGAAAGCTACACCATCCTTTTAAAACCTTCATTACACAATTAGTTGTGTTGTGGCCTACACCACATATACCCAAATACTTCAAATTCACTGTTGTTTGCTCATGCAAAAGCCGAGGATTTGCATGGAATCAATCTCCTTAGAGTTTAAACTCAAATTTTTTTAAATAGCCACAATGGTTGAAGGCGCAAATAATGCGCATTTTTATTTTTTTTTTGTTCTCAAAACCGACTGACCAAAGCATTCGCCTTCTAACTGATGCCAATATATCCTCCTATGTGATTTCATGTTCCCCTGCAATCATGGCAATATATCCTCTTACGTGATTTCATGCTCCCTCCCATTTCTCTACACTACGGGAAGTTACTTTCCAGTTCTACCTGATGCTGACATCTTAATTTGGAGGTTTGTTATGGTGAATAAATACTTCAGCACACAAGAAACAAGAAACATTAAAGTTTAAGTTGTTACCTATAAACTTCAAAAAACTTAAAGAAGAAGATGCTGGACTGTAGAGTTTGAGCTGGAGAACCGCACCCAACGAAGAAGAAGAAGAAGGAGAAGCTGGGAGAACCAGACCCGATAAAGAAGAAGATGAAGAAGTTTGAGCTGTGAAAAAGGCGGGAGAACCAGACTGGACGAAGAAGAAGCGGGAGAAAGAAAAGGGAGGGGTCTGATGCTGACCAAAACGACGTCGTTTTGATAAGGGGGGAAAAAAAGAAGCAAAAACGAAGAACAAAACTGTGTCGTTTCATTAAACCACATGACATGCGGTAAGTCCCTTACCCCAGACGAGCTACACCCTTCTACCCAACTTTAATTTTTTTTTTCTCCCAACCCGTCGACTCTCTCCCCAGAGCTCATCTCATCTGGTCTGTCAACGCCCTTCTTCCGTTTTGGTGACCATTGACGAGGACGATGCCGAAGAGTTAGGCGATCACTGGCGATATCTTGATGACTCCCTTCTCTCTCCATTCTTCTAGTTGTTGTAGATCTGACCCAATCCACTTCGAACAAGTATGAACTCTCATATTTTCTTTCAACTTTTATTTCGTCTGATTTTTCTTGGATTTGCATATTATGTGAAACATATATGATATATTTGTCTCTATCTCTTTCTATTCATCTCTGTTTATTCTTTTGAAAACCTAAATTTCTACTAAATAAACTGTTATATTATTGTTAGGAATGGAGTGCTCATTCCTATAAACTGTTTGATAAAATGCCTCTTAGAAAATTTATATTTGATTTGTTGAAATATAAACTGTTTGATTTGTTCGTCAGTGAAAGAGAATTGGGAGGATCTTGCAATGTTGAAAGTTAAAGTATCGATATATTTAGGCTCCTTATGGGAGTTAAGAGAAGCATTTTCAAGTTCAAATGGCTATTGCGCAGGATCTAAGAGGGTTTCCAGTTTCTAGAAAGAAGAAAATTTTGGTGTATGATGATAAGGCTTAAGGTTGCTGTTTTTCTGGGTGTGAAGGGATGGTGGTTGTCTGTTGTTTTGCTTATGTACTTTTTATAAAATACATTAATTTTAGGGGATTGTGTTTAAATACATCCAAACAACACAGCTTGCTGCTGTGTTGTGATGGGCTGTTTTGCTTGCTGCTTGATGTTTGTTACGGCTGCGTTGTTGATGCTGATTTTTGCTATGGCAAATGGCTTGCTATGGGTTCATATGAACCATTGTTCATTGTGTTTGTTCTCTTGCCGTACTTGGTCTGATCTTACATATCAGTGGTGTTAAGGGGATTGTGTTTTGAGCCTCGGTTTTTTGAATTTTTTTTCGTTTGTCTTTGAGTCCAACGGGACTTCATTGTACATTTTTGTGGGTGATTACCCTTGTATATCTATTTTATTTTAATATACTTTACATTCCGAAAAAAAAAAATATTTTAAATTTTGAATATCCAAACAATACTTAGTTAAGAAAAGTGTTTATAAGAAAAACACTTTTGATAAATATTTATTAAAAAAATACTTTTTGAATTTAATAAGTCATTCCAAACACACACTATATTTTTTACCCGTAACGTAGGATGAACACCCCTATTTGGAAGAACTGATAATTTAATTGGATTCCTGTCCAATGATCTCCAAGTATAATTTAATTGGACTCCTGTCCAATGATCTCCAAGTACTAATACAATCCTGCAAATCTTCATCACAGCACACTAAAACCGAATCATTAACTTCATCTTGATACTTGATTTTATAACTTCCAGCCTTTAACTTCAGCCTTTTTTCCACTGCGTCCTCCAACTCCAACATTCCTGACGAAAAAGGGAGCCGAAACTTGATAATGTCTTTGCCATATGTGGCCTTCATGGCCACAGAGCCCTCATTTTGCTTTGCTGAAGCATGTGGCATTGTGGAAGCAATAGAAGTAGTGGCTTGCTTAGGAGCCTTATCACAAGGTAGACAGTCTCTCTGACAAGATTCTCCGGTTTGTTTGTTAGCGCCTCGAATAGATTCAAGCTGAGAAGGGGAGCGAGTAACCTTGTTTCGCTTGCGGGACGGCCACCGCTTGATGCCATGTAGTCTGCATTTACGCTTAAATGTAGATCGGCTAACTGCAAAACAAACAAATGAAGAGAAGAGAACCTTTTACAACCACAAGAAGCTATAAGAAGAATGTAGCAACTCATAAATGACAAGATGAAGATCCCGACCAATGATTTTCCATGGGCATAAGCTTACCACAAAGAATCTTTGCAGCATTTTCAATATCCGTTCCAAATAGTTTTTCCAGAACTTCACGACTAATTTCACCTTCTCTGTGTGATCCCTCTGCTGGGCCTCTTTTCTCTAGAGGAATATCAACAATGTCGCTTTGGTCTGCACTTGCAAAAGTTTTTTCATTGTTTGTACCATCAACTTCAGCCATATTTTTCTGATATGATGAATCTAACTGCACTATCTCTCCTCCATTTTGCAAGGCCAGAACCGCAGACAAACAGCTAATGGCTCTGTGTTCTGCACTAACAACATTCCTTCCACAATTTGTGGCATCAACTTCAGACATAGATTTCCGATATGATGAATCCCTTTGTTCTGCACTGACAACATTCCTTCCACTATTGGTGTCATCAACTTCAGCCATAGCTTTATGATATGATGAATCTGGCTGCACTATCTCGCCTCCATTTTGACAGGCCTCAAGCATAGGCAGATAGCTAGTTGAGTTTCTTTGTTCTGCACCAACAACATTCCTTCCACTATTCGTGGAGAATTCCACCGTTAATTGCTGGTAAGGTGAATCTAGCTGCATTGTCTCTTCTCCATCTCTAAGGGCTTCAAGCCTAGATGGAGATCTAGTCGTTTGGCATGTTTCAAAGGAGTTAGGTTCATCATCCATAAACAATTTAATGACTTCAATAGACAATTTTCCACCCAGTTCTTCTCCTGAAGCAACCCTAAAACTGTGGAAATGCTGTTTCATTGTGCCCAATAATGAGTACAAAAAGATCCGAGGGGCTTCACCATCTATTTTTACAGGGGGCAAAAAGAACTCTATAATGTAAACAATATTTCCAGTGTATGAACTCCGCAGGGAAATTGCAAAAGAGCAAATTAACTTAAAGTCATATGCATGGTGTGCTAAAGGGTACTCAATTAGGCTCAACTTGGTTATATCTTTGCAGAAGCATGCATTATGGGAAGAAAATGCTCTGCCAACAACTCCCTTGCCCTTTTGTATGTGATATAGTTCAATTATTTGGCGGACTGGGTATAAGTCACGCGTTGCCAGATAATACGGTGCCTCAACAGTGGTCAACATGACGTACTCACTATTGCCTCCATTAATACCAGCCCAACACACTGAATGGGGGCACAGGACCCATGTTTGAGCAAAAGGTATTTGAAGTGCTTTACAAACCTCGTCTAATGCCTTATAGATTTCTTTGAATGCATCCTCTTTACCTTCAAAAATCTAGTTTAATAATAAGATGATGTTATTTGCAATGTCTGACGGTATATTTGAAAACACAAAAAATTTTGACATTTGTGATTTACTTGCAACTTACATGAGGATTGCAGTATATGTTCCGATACCCCAGACCTGCCGCCTACAAGGGAACCGAAATAATGTAACTAAGAAATCTTGAATCGTCACAAATGGAAGATAAAAGGCTGGAAGCATTTAGGAAAGTTTACATTCCATTTTTTTTATTATTATTTTTTATTTAAAAGGGGTGTAACACAAGGACTTTCCAAGGAATCACCTATCCTAGTACTACTCTCGCCCAAACACACTTAACTGCGGAGTTCTGATGGGATCTGGTGTATTAGTGCCGGTATGATCGCACCCAAAGTTTACATGATATGCATAACCTTATGATTTATTTAATTGATTGAATACGCTAAATTGATTACGTTATAATGTAATCACGAGACTATAATAGTTGTATTCTATTTTCTAAATTCATTGTTCTTGCACAGATAATGAGTTGTTTGCGAATGTCTCCTGTTTAAAGTTTTGAAGGTAGAAAGGGGTGCACTGTGGAGTCTACTAAAGCAAAAAGGGGGCCTTAATATATGAAAAATATGTCATATTGTAACATACACAAATCTGACACCAACTAGAAAACAATGGTTTACTGAAACCTGGTAAAATTAGGAAACAAGAGTTTTTGGGTGTCCATCTTGTAAGCAGAGTATGAATGCATTGAGATACGCCTACATTAAAGATTAAATAAAGCCAAAATGGAAAAAAAAAAAAAAAAAGCTAAACTAAATATTCCAAACTACATAAAGACTAACCTCAAGCATCATGCATACATTCAGAACATCATGAAATTCTATGGCCCGGTCTGAAGTTGATACGATTTCCAGTACACCAGTACGCTCGCCCATTGCGCTAAATAATGGCAAGGCCAGCAGTCCCCGTATGCCAGTATATTGCCGCTGTGGATAAGAATACCGTACATCTGAACACAATTCCAGGCATTTATCTCGGAACACACGCACGAGAGGACCAATGTCTTCTGCTTCTTCATTGTCACTAATCACACAATTATTATCCACACAGTGACTCCTATACAAAACAAGTCCTTTATGAAAAATACTAACACCAAAAGGTTGATCTGAAGTTGTAAGCACCCAGTTGCCTCCCTTTGATTTAGCCGTCCAAAACTGAACTAGAACTGGACTAAAGCAGAATAATTCAAATTCTTTGAGGAAATGTTTAATAGCAGCTTTTGTCCGTCGTTGATTGCTAAGAGAGTCTGGCAAAAGAGAAGCCCAAATGTTAGGTAAATAGTGAGAAAGAGGTGACTTACTAGTGGGTTCTAATTCGTCGTCGTCGTCATCTCGGCCCGAGAAAACGTAGAGTCTTCCTTTCAAAGACGGCTCCGAGAACAGTTTATTCGGAAAGTCTTTCAAAAAATCGGATAGTGAGTATGCACTGTCCTTCTCCATCGATGACATTGCAGGATTATTTTTCTCCGCTTCCGGTTTTTAAGTTCTATTGCTGGTGATAGTAAAATGGATGAATCATTAAACTAAAATAACAGCGGTGCGATGAGCCTAACCTTTTCTTAAAGAGGTTCAAAAGGGTTATTCTCTGGTCCAATCTGAAAAGAAATATAGTGATGAATTGACAACACTGAGAAGACTTATTCGGTTCTGCTTCTGCCGTTGACGGCCAAGTGTGTGTATTCTCCTTTTAATCGTGGTTAATATATAAATAAACTAGTTATCACTTGTACGCACTGAGTAATAATAAATATATTTGTATTTATATTTAAAATTAAATTACAAACATAAAAAAGAGATAAAAAAATTTAAACATCGATTTATAGTGGTGTTGAAAGGTGATGAGCGACAATGGTAGTGGTAGGAGACGGTGATGATTGTGATGTGCGGCAATGACCGTGGTAGCGGTGGTGACGACGATGATGGTGGTGGCGGCGGCGACGACAGTAATGGTGGTGGTGGTGGCGGCGGCGACGATGGTGATGTTAATGGTGGCGGCAGCGGAGGCGATGGTGGGAGAGGTAGTGATGAGGGTGATGGAAGTAGAGGTAATAGTGAAGCGGTTTCAAATACTATTTTTTTAAAATTATTTATGAGAAACAAATTCTACAAATACTTTTAAAAAGTCACTTCAAACACAACCTTAGATACTTATTTTTTCTATTAAATTTAGAGTGTTAATATTAATCATTAGATTAACTTTAAATAAAATTTAAAACGATCTCAATTGCGAATAGTAAAAGTCATTTTGTTTATCTTTTGAGATTTGAATTGTAAGTTATTTTATTATATAAATTTTATTATAGTTAACATATGAATTCATTTAATTAATTTTATTGTAGTTAAAATATAAATTATTAGTTTTACTCTATCAAAATATTTACTGTTAATTCGTTGCACCAAACAATTTAGGTTGTCTTTATGTTTTATGTCCCAAGAGCTAAGATAAATATCATAATTGGTTTTTAAATTTTATTTTTAATTTTAATTTAGTATCTGAACTTTCAAGTATTTTAACTTAACTCCTCAATTATCAATTTCATCTTAATTAAGTTATTTAATCAAATTTTATTTTTAGATCAACAAGAAATTAGTTAAATTTGATCTATTTCAATATTGATTTAACTGTAAAAATGAATGAAATGACTTAATTATGACAAAATTAATAATTAAAGGACCAAAATAAGATTGGAAGTTCATAAATCAAATTAAAATCATATACAAAGTTCAATGACGAAATATAAAATTTACCCTTAAAACTAAATACGATGTGCAATGAACCTAGAACCTTCTTTGTTAAAGGTTCAACTAAAGAAGATAAAAAGGTTCATCCTCTATTCAATAATACATGTACCCAAAAAAGGCAACAATGAAAAGACTTTGCGTTGATTTGAAAAGTCCAAGACTCCGGTATGAACTCAACTTGAGACTTATAAGCAACTTTATCTGTAAAAGGTTCAAGTAAAAAAGTTCAAAAGATTTATTCTCTATTCATTAATACATGTACCCAAAAAATGCCATGAATTGAAAAGTCCAAGACTCTGGTGTGAACTCAATGGGAGACTTATAAGCGACCTTTTCTGTAAAAGGTTCAACTAAAGAAGTTCAAAAGGTCCATTTTCTATCCAATAATACATTTTTGCAAAAAAGATAACAATGAAAAAGACTTTGCCATGATTTGAAAAGTCCTAAGACTCTGGTGTGGACTCAATGGGAGACTAATAAGCAAAGGAAACCAGACACTCACCTCATGTAACGAAATTAGTACGACAGTCAAATCCATTTAATTAACACTTAATTCATAAAATTAACATAAAAAATCATTTAATAAAAATTCAATTTAACATATCAATACTAAAGTAACATGAAAATTTATCAAATAAATATTTAATTTTTCCAACAATACCAAATTAACATTTTATTCTTCAAAGAGTAATTTATTGACTTAATTCATTATGACATTTGGAGTAACTGTAAGTCTCATCAAACATTAAAATTGTGTTAATTTAATGATTTCAATGAAGCTACATCGTTAGGTTAGCAAGTTATGTCAGTTTTTTAGATCCAAATAGCATTATTCTTTTTCAAATCAACATTCAATTTTATCTAATAAACATTTAATTCATCAACTTAACATCAAATTAAACTACCAACTTACATTCAATCGCATCCAATTAATATTCAATTTATCAAATTGAATACCAAATTAACTTTCAATTCATCTAATTTATATTCAAAATCATTCAATTAACACTCAATTTATCAAATGAATATTGAAAATTATCCGATACATATTCAATTTAACAAATCAACACCAAAATAACATGTAATTTCATCCAATTAAAATTTAATTCATCAAATCAATTCTAAATTAATATTCAATTCAACAAATTAACATCCGATTTTATCTAATAAAATTTATCAAATTAACATTCAAATTTAACTATTTAACATTAAATTCATCAAATTAACATTTAATTTCATCCAATTACTATTTTTTTTAAAGTTAAACTCATTTAGGATGAATTTTATTAATAACAAAATTGTAAAGAGAATAAGAGAGGACATAAACATTTCCCCGACAGAATAAAAGTAAGTTAAAAGTTTACTTTAAATGCAAATTTATCATCCTAAAAGGTGGTGGGTTCCATTTGAAATTCATCCACATGTTCTTGATGCCCAAGTTTATCTCCATACGACGGGTCCCATGGCAATTCAAAAGAATTATTTTTCAAAAGAATTCTTGCTTGAAATGCATCAGCCAAGTCTCCATTGGCTTCCAACGGATATGACTTCGACATGGCGCGTCCCATGGCAAACAAAAATTGGCTTTCCGTCCAATTAAAAGATGCCTCCTTTTTAAAAATTAGAATCTATTACCGATGTACGACAATTTTAAAATTAAAATATCAATATTCAGTTGTTTTGAATTTATTTATTAATTTATGATATTTTTTAAAAGTGAAATTAATAAATTCATTTTTAACAATAAAAATAGAATTAATAACCCCATTTTTAATAAAAAAATTAAAAAATTTACTTAATGAATACGCTTTCCTTAGGCCTCGACGACAACTTTCTCTCAAGTTATCTCTCTCCAACTCTCTTCACAAAAGCTTTAGTCTTTAACCTCTTTAGACGTCTCAAACAACTCTTTTTTTTTGACTATATTCTACTTAAAATAAAAAATTTAAAGAACCTCGTTGACCTTTACATCGGAATCAACCACTTTTTCGGTGAATTACCGTTGAAAATTGGTGACCTTTCGAGTCTCCAGAACTTCTTTGCGCCTTTTTGCGCTATCAGAGGCCGATTGTCGGAAACAATATCAAATCTAAAATCGTTGAGCAAACTTGATCTTTCTTACAACCCATTGAAGTGTTCAATCCCAAAATCCATTGAAAAACTTCAAAATTTTACCATCTTGAATCTTGTTTACTCTGAGCTCAATGGTTCCATACTAGTCGAACTGGGCTTCTGTGAAAACTTAAAGACATTAGTCCTTTCCTTCAATTTTCTTTTTGGGTTTTTACCTGAAGTGCATGTACCGATAAAAAAATCCATTACTTATGTAGTGGAAGATAGGGAAGGATCTTTATTATGTTGGTGGAAAAAGAGAGTATTTATTCAGTACGTTTTTTAATTTTTTTTTTATTACAAACGGGATTGTTAATTCTGTTTTTATTGTTAAAAGCAGATTTGTTGATTCCGCTTTTAAAAAATGTCATAAATTAGTAAATAAGTTCAAAACAGCTATATATTGGTGTTTAAGTTTTGGGCAATACTATATGCACTTAAAAAATAGACTTAAAAATTAGATTTGATAATTA